TGCAAATCATATGCGTTTACGCGGTTTGTACGCGGAGAGTCTGAGGTCATATTGTCTTACGTTGACTTCCACGTCAGCTTTTTCCCACGGCTATATCGTGTCCACAATACCGTCTTAATTTTTTTGGTATTATATTCTCCATAATTAATTTAACAACAAATAAAACCGACGTTCAAAATTTTATTTAAAAAAATTAAAATTTTTTTATTCAAATCAGTAAATTATTTGTAGTACTGTCTTTTTTTTTTTTTTTTTGAAACGTTTGTTGTACTGTCTTAATTGCAAGATTACTTAAACATCATCTTAAATTTGTTTTTTCGTACTTAGGAGAATTTGAAGACAGGGGATTACTTTTATAAAAATTAATATTAAGGTCTTGATTTTGGTTTTACTTACATCTTCTCCCAACACAACTAGTCTTCTCCCAACACAACTAGTCGTCTTAATTGTGAGATTACTCAAACATCTTTTCATGTGGTTAGTAGAACATCACCTCAATGAATTCATGTGTTGAATTTGAATAAGGAATCAATAAAAGAGGCTTCACGAGATGCATGTCAAGGAGATAAAATTTTGAGATATTAATCTTAGAATAAATTTAATAAGATAAAATTTTTTAAAAATTAAAAATGATATGTATTATCTTTATTTATAAATTAAAATTTTTTAAAAACTTATATATTTATCTATATTATCTTTTAAAAAATTAGTAATAAGGTTTTTTATAAATTTAAAGTGATATGTATTATCTTTATTTATAAATTAAAATTTTTTAAAAACTTATCTATTTATCTATATTATCTTTTAAAAAATTAGTAATAAGGTTGATAATAAAATTAAAGAGATAACAATAATGTTAAAATAAAAAAAATATTTATTTCTCTTTAAAATGATAAAAAAAATTACTTTAAAAGATTTTTTTTATGGAACTTAAAAAAAATTTTTGAATAAAAATAACAACAATTATTTTGGGACATATGCATGATTGTTTTGATTAAGGATGGCGATGGGTCACTGCCCCACAAGGATCTCTCCCCATCTTTGTCCCCACCAATAACAAGTATAAGGATTCTCACAAGAATTTTTGATAGAGAGCAAAATTACCCTTTGTTTTCATCCTTGTAAGAATGGTAGGTCTTGTGGGCATGTAAAATTCTTGTAAAATATTAAAATTGTAAATTTTAACTTATTTTTCAGTAAATAAATTTTATAATATTACCTAAGGGGTAATTCATGAAGCATAAAGAAAAATGTAGGAGTAAAAAGCATGCAAGAAGTTTTACAAATACCATACAAGAGTACTACATAAAAAAACAAAAAGATAGTAGAAATTTGAAATAAGTATACGTATGCAATGTAGCTAATCCATAAAAAACAACATAAAAAAAATGTAAACATTTGAAATTGCTTGGATTTTATGTTTTTATAAATATATTAAAATTTAAAAAAATATAAATTTATATATTTTTTTATTATCTACAGATCCCACAAGATCGTGGGTAGAGGAAATTCCATGCAAAAAACAATTGCTTTCATTCCCACCCTACAAATCTCCACAGAACACTACAGGTTTATGAACAAATTGTCATCCTTAGTTTTGATAGGGGACCAAAATCCTCTTCTAGATATTTCTGGACATTTGTTTGTGTCACTTTCTAATTAGAATGGTCAAAACCTAAGTTTATGTAATTTGCCTAAGTTTACACTTATATGCATTGCGAAATTTAACGGTTGCTTGCTTTGATTGAGATTGCTAAATCATGACTTTGGATTATTGCTTTGATTGTGGTGTTTCATGACATTATTTAAAAAAAAAAAAAAAAAGGAGAATGAGAGAAGTTCTCTTAAGAAGCAAGGATTTGAAGCTTAATAACAGCCGAGGTCCTGGCTACACTTACCAATAAAACTATGATTTTTGGCATGAGAGGAATCATGGCTCTTCACCTTCCTTCTTCATAATTGATATCACAGTGTCAGTGATTTCACAGTAAAAATATGAGGAGTTTATGCTATTTTGATATCTTATTACTATTCATGGAAAATGATGAATTCACTTAATTATTATTTGCTTTAAAAATCAAACATTATTAACTTCTTGTATATACTCCGCACGTGATATGCACACACTTTCGTGAGTTTTGATTTTTTGCCTGACACATTTAATTTTTTTTAATTTATGATCAAGGTTTTTATGAATTAATTTTTAATTTTTATATATTTTTTTCAGATTCATTTCTCATCAAATTATCTTAAAAACATATCTCATAGATCTTATATATTTAAAAAAATTAATTTTATTAAATATTAACTTCAAAACTTAAATACTCAACTTAATTTATAAGATAATTTTTATTTACTATTCAATTCAACTTTTAGGGTTGTCTGAGACATTTCATAAGTGACGTGGAAAGTTTTTCAGTCCTGAATTCTTACGGGTGTTTCTTTTTCTTTTTTTCTTTTTTTTTTTAAAATCAACCTCTTAGGGGTATTAAATAGAATATATTTTAAATTGGAGATACAGGGCGTATTTAGTTTGAGTGATTTTTATTCGTCAATAATTTTTTTCTTTAACAATTGGTTACAGTGGTTGAAAATATTAATTAGTTTGTAAGCTGATTTTTAACTGTTAAATACTTCTCATAACTATTAATTGTTTGTCAACTACTCCTTTTATTTATTTTTAATAATTTTAATTTAATTTTTTGACTTTTTAGGTATAAATTTTAAATAAAAATTTAATAATTTATATGAATAATAATTTTAAAACTTTTTTTCCCATATAAAGTTTTTATCGAGTATTCTTATTTAATCAAAACAATTTCAATTTTCATTTATATAATATACCAAAATTTTGTTTGAAAATCACGTCTAAAGAGTCATAAATAAAACTAAACAAAGAGAGTATTAATTAATAATTACAGCTATCATCTGTCCCTAAGAGCCAAACCAAATAGAGCCATAAACTCATTGTAAAAATGATGTTGAAAGTACTTTAATAGTGTTTCTCCCCCTTCTTTTTTATCTTTTTTTTTTCTTGAATTATATAATAGAAGGTAAATTTTTTTTTTATTTTTTAACTCACTTTATTGTATATTATGTGATTTGACATTTTATTTTTATTTAGAAAAAGATTACTATTAAATTATTTAAATTATTGATAAAAGTTATGATTTTAAGAAACTAAAAGAATGTATAAAATTATTTAGCCACCAAAAAAGTTTTGCTTAGGCAAAGTTGAGAGATTAAATTTAACATTAAACCTTGAATCAAATACTCTTGCAACCCATTTTATTCACTTATTCCACCGCGTCTATACTCATTTGGCAATGAAACAATCAATGAATCCCAACTTAAGCACAATTAGATACAAGCTAGCACTCAGGCTGCCACAAGAAGGGAGCATCAGCATTCTCATCACTGCAGTACAAGCAAGGGTGCTGCTCGAACCCCTGTGCCCGTAAAATCTTCCTGGCCATCATCACAACTTCCCTGTTGCTCAATGGACCCGAATTCTCCTTCAGCACCTTCTGCACCGCATTGCTAAACGCCCCACATGCCTTCCCTCCTCCCTCACTGTCACTCACGTCCTCGGACGTTTCGTCTGCCTGGCATCCGCTTAGCAGGATGCCCTCATCTTTCTTGGAGTGCATTAAATCCAGTTTGTCCAGAGGAAGACGGAATTTGAGGCTGGCATCACCTCCAAAGGATTCTAACAGGTGGGTGCCGATGTCAGAGGTGTTGATGCTTGTGAGTGAAGTCAAGTGCTGGAGTACAGATTCAAAGGGAATGGTCTTATGCTTGTGAGATGATGTTTTTTCTTTCTTAAAGACAGAAGGTCCAATTTGCTCCTTTTCCTTGTCAATTAGACCCCCACTGTGGCAGGAATCTGAAAAGATTGTGAAACTTGCGCCGTTGGGGACACGATTAACCAAGTGTCTTAGATCAACATCTACATATAATCATGATGCAAAAACCGACCAGAGGTTAACGCTGTTGATGGTAAATTATAGGCCAAACCCTCTATTTACACTATGTACTTTTTTTTTTCGTGATTAACACTCTTTAAAATATTTATTTTTGGTTAACATCTTTCAAAATTTTTTAAACATGTGAAAAATTCAAAATTAACAATCAAACCTCTTGTTTGCACTTAACTTGCATGTGACCTAATTGTTAATTTTGAGTTTTTTTTACAGTTTCATATTACAAAAAAATGTTGATTAACAGTGAAAATTCTAAAAAGTGTTGATTACAGAAAATGATAACATTTAGAGAATAAATAGAGAGTTTGACCTAAATAATAAGCTCACAATTACTATATAATGCAAAATTAGAACTTACCAGTGATGAGATTGAAGTCACAGGGAACAATTGCTTCA